GTGCTAGTTGCCACGTTTGCTTCACATGATCCAGCCGCTCGCGACTGCAAACCCTTTGCGCGGCTGGGCTGCCCTCCCAACGGCCAGGCCGGTAGCCGACCATCCCGGAAGCGCCAAAGCCCGGGCTGGACACGCAAAAGCTGTCCTTGGCTGCCGCGCCTCTCTCAGCCTGAAAACAGTTCCTTCCAAAAAGGCGCGTCGTTAAGCTGGCCCCGGACTGCGTCTTGTTGGAGGCATTTTTGATGAGTGAGAACCGCCAACAAAATGATAGAAAGGGCGGCAACAGCCAAGCGGCAACAGCAGGCAACGAACAATGCTTCGCCAAGTTTTCGCAGAGAGCATCTAGAGCGACGCTCCTAACTCCCCCAACAACACCTGGCACGCGCGCGCGCGCAAGCCAGCCAAACACGTTTCACCTGCTCGTTGGCAAAAGGTCCAAACTCGCACCCAGTTGAGCATGTCACAAAAATTCCATAAAGGACTTCTGCCGCTTCTCTCAGCACGCCCGGCGCACCCGGCCGCAGTTGCGCTTTCCCGTCGCACTGGAAGAGGCGCAGCCTTCGTTGGCACGATTGCTTCTGCGCAAGCGGGCTCAATCAACTGGGCGGCGATGTTCCTTTCGCGCAGAAGTAGAAAACTGACCAGCTTCCTCGTCGATGGAAAACCCGAACAATCCAGCTATTTACCAAGGGATCCTGACAATGCAGTCAGTGATCAGGACCCCAACCTTATGACCGATGAGGCGCAACGGTAAATCTGCTCTAACTCCTTTACCGTGCCAAGAGAGACTTTGAAGGAGAGGAGCTTTCAAACCGACTTCTTGGAGTGGGTCCTGTCATCATGGCTTCACTGCTAAGAACAGCGTGGATGATGATGGCGGAGCGCTTCTGGCTTTGCACTCTGCACGCCAAGAATCGCAATCAGCCAAGGCTTCTACAACATCAGCCCTTATGGGGAAGAAGAGGAGACGACAACCGTCACAGAAGCCAACCCGCGATGTTGAGCACATGTGCGTCCCTGTGACATCAGCCCTGGGTATCCAACCATTGGTTCACTGGAGGATAGGACGAATGCTCAGCTGAGTCATCTGAACAGCGCGCGCAAGTCAGCCGAATTGTACTGCTCATGACATTGTTCTCTCGCTTCAACAAGTGCAGATATAAGCTGACGATCATATTCCCTCATACGACGGCGCCTACGAAAACAATCAGGCAATCTGGAATTTACCAGAACTCTCGCGCGCTCCGCTCGGTCACAAGTATGAGTTCCATCACGCTAGGGAGCCAGCGCACGTCAGGGACAAAGGTGCACGGTCGACTTGACCTTCATGAGGGCGGCCAGTCACACCTTGTTCTGTGGTTTCTTCTGCGCCACGTTGCTTGCTGTACGCTGGCGCCACCAAGGAAAAGCAGCAGCACTCACACCGTTCAAATGTTTTTTGGCCGTTGGAAGGTGCAATTTACTGGGACTTGCTGGCAGCTGGCACCACCGATAACGAGGAGAAACTGCCGGATTCAAACCTCGTTCAGGTGTTTCTTCTGCATGCGTTTGAAGTTGCGCTTTGCGCCGCCAAGGACAAGGGGTTGGATTGGTGCGGGGGTTGGATTGGTTTGCGGCGGGGTTGCTGTGATTTGCACCGCCCTTCCCACAAACTTACACGAAGCGTTGAAAGTCGTTGCTTGTAGGCTACATTGGTTTTGAGCGAGTTGTTTTCTGTTGCGCTGTCGACTTGAGTTCTTGCTATAAGTGGTCTAGCATGAGGGCTTCGGGTGAAGCTGAGTCAAGCTGCGAGATTTTTCAAATGCATTTCCACGGTTAGACACTGCCGCATTCACCATCGACATAAACATCCCGCAAGCCCCCTGCCTGAAGAATTATGTGACAGGGTCCTAATTAGAGAGCAGTTCCGACGCAAGGAGCTGGCCAGAGTCTAGGCGTTCTCTTGCAGTTGGTGCAGCGCGGCGTGCGGGCGTCGCACAGTTGCGTCGCTCTGGTCAGATGGCGGGCGGTGCGGTCGGACTTCCTTCTGCTCGCGCGCTGCCAACATGCCCGATTTCCGGCGCTTCCTGGCGCCGGAAACTGAAAGCCGTGACGGACCTGAAGCTGGGCAGAAGAACCTGTCGATGAGAGGCTAACGGGTCAATTGATTTTTCACAAGCGCCCGCATCATTGCATCAGTTGAAGCTGACACATTCTACAAGTCAGATTCGTCAATTGATAAGAAGAACTTTCGAACTGGTCAAGGCGTTCATCAACGCAGGCTTCTAGAACGTCCTTCTGAAGGCGCGCGGAGCAGGACTGATTGCATGTTTCGTGCGAGGCAGTAAGCCAGCCCGAGTTGAACTTCTCGCTCGGCATGCATCCACGACGAACCACCTTTTCCAAAATTATTCCTTGCGCTAGAAGAACATGAGGATCCTGATTACCTCAAGCCAATGTCCGACTGCTTGGCACGCGCAGGTCCATACTTGGAAGCAATATCAAAAACTCTGCTTCCTAAGAGTCGTACTGCTGCTTCCGCTCAATTCGGCCACGGCGTGTTCGGATCGGTGCGACGTCGAGGGCTGACTAGACCCTATCCCGCAAGCGTGTGTGACTCATGCAAGTCATGTGTCCGGCAGACGGCAGCGCAGCCTGCTTTGTTTGCTTTCAGGGCGCGAGCTGTGAGGCTCTTGCGTGAAAAGTGAAGCTGCGCAATAGCAGCAGCCAGAGCGCGGCGAGCCCGTTGGGAGCCCCTTCACGAGTAGGTCGTCCAAGGGCAGCAGCCGCAGCACGGCTTAGCACGCGGAGAGCCAACAGTCCTCGCCCGGTGTAAGTAGCCCAGGCGCAGAAGCTACAGCGCGGCGCACAAGGTGGAAGACCGAGCCGCGCTCCGCAGCACGGAGCGTGTGGTACGAAGACACGCAAGAAACGCAAGCTGGTCCGTGAATAGTTGCCTACTCATACCTAAAACAATGACTGATGCAAAGGCAACAGGCGTCCAGCCAAGTTTCGCGCCAAAACTTTGAGAAGCTTGGTGGTAGCCCTGGTGGACAGAAGCATTGGGGGATATTTTCTCTGAGGCTCTCGCTATACGAAGTTGAACCTCACACGGGCTGCGCTGAGAGAAAGTTGCAGTTTGGACACACATGTGGCAGCGGCTACCGGAAAACAGTTGCCATCTGCGCCACCCTCCGAGAGGGTTTGTTGAAACCGCCTTGTCGGCGATTGCACTTTTTGCCCTTTGATTTTCCTTTTCTTCTTCCTGGTCGCAAAAAATTCGCCTTGACCCCTTTCTGACTGCGAATCATCATGATTTTTGAGGGCCAGCATCCAGAAGCCTTCTTCTCCTTCGTGTTATCAAGGCCTTCTTCTCCTTCGTGTTATCGAGGATGTAGAAGACGTTCTGTCGAGAACCTCCATTGTTGGATCTCGGATCAAGGTTCTGGTTGTGATGAAGAGGACGTGAAACTGTGGCTTCAGCATCTCATATGTGTAATTTTCCAACTGGATGTTCCTCAAAGACATTGCGCTGATTAGTCTTCCTCTTTGCTCATCTGACAATTCCCTGTGAACGGATCATTGAGTGGAAGCGCGTCACGGTGTCTCCGTCGCGTTCCGCTGACACACTGTCTCAAAGTCTCCGGGTCGTGCGGGCTCAGGAACTGTGCGGCGGCGCTCCAGCCTGAATCGGGCGCTGAGACTGCGCGGCTCTTCTCTGGTTCGTGATGCTGCCTTCAGTCGGCGTAGCAAGGTCTCCAGTTTCGAAACGCAAATGAGAAACTCTGAGTTGTGTCTTCCATGGTTTTGGGCGCGCCCTTCAGGAAGACTTCTTAAGGAAGCGTGATCTAAACCTGACTTTTCCGCCACGCTGGCAGCTGCTTGGCGGTCATGAATAAATTTAGTGTCTCTTCAGCACTGCCGATAGGTTGGCCTCTAGTGCCCCAAGATTTGTTTCTCAACCATCAGGTCGACTGACGTGAAAATTTCTGGTCAATACAATGAGTGAATAGGTGCTGAGGGCGAGCGCAGCGAGGTCCTTTTCTATGGCGAGTATGAACTCTATGGTGGAAAAAGGTATGTATATGTATACGTGATACAAACTGATTGCCTAAAGGTCAATGGTCTGCAAAGCACAGAACACCCCCCCCTGCCTCCCGCTCTGGTTAGGATGGGTTGTTTGGGTTTGGTTTGAGGTGGTGGGTTTAGGGTTCTTCTGCTCAAGTTAGGATTGGGTTGGTTGAGGGTTGCATTGGGGGTGTGGGAACACGGGACCCGGCAGTTGTTTGCTCATTGCTGCAAATCTCCCAAGAAACGAAGATAGTCCAGCGAGATGGGCTGAGAGAAAGTGCTCAAAGCAAGAACTCGTTGAAAGATTCTCTCGGTAGGATCTGAGCCGATCCGCAACTGCACCGGCCTCCAGGTTTAGATGCACCGATCGGAGCTCTTCCCCTTTTCGCCTCACTTCCCCCAAGCCCCGCGCTTCATGCTTGGAGTTGAGCAGGCCAAGCAAACGTGACAGGGGCTAAGTGCCGCATTCTGGCTTGTGACGCAAGTCTTAGCTCTCTGATCTGTGAGCTGTGACCATGACGCAGGAGTGCATGAGCATTTCCGGCCTGAGGCTTTCTGCTTCTGTCTTCAAATGATCCAGCCTCCTCTCCAAGTCCCGCACCTCCGCTGGGACAGATTCTAGACAGATTCTCCACTCGCTCTCAGCTTGTTGACTTGCAGCTCAACTGGTGCGAGCGGGTCAGCACATGGCTGCTGCAAAATATCCACAGTTGCAGCGACTAGCAAAGCCATGCGACGGACTGCCAAAAAGCGTCGTGGCTTTTTCGACCGCTGGGGATATCTGCTGCGTGAGATTCTACGTCTTGCAACCCCTTCGGCTTCTGTGAATCATTGAACTCCCCAAGCCCCAGCTTGATCAAGAAATCAAACCTTAAGGCAACTTTTGGGGGGCTCCTTGGCGAGCTTCATGCGCACATGCAGCAACGTCACAACACTTTGCTGTCGCAATGGGGTTTGATAATGCAACACAATTCAAACTGCCAAGAAACCACAAGCTGTGCCACCCATGGCATTTCACTGCACACAACGTCTTGGACCTGAAATGCGTGAAAGCCACGGCGCGAAAAAATATGTCTCCCTTGCGGGAACAAAAGCTATGTGTCTATGTTTGGCCAGTCGCTGACTGGCCATACCTCCAAGAACTATGTACGCTTGCTTTGCCCCATGTTGCTGCACCTGGCAAAGCAAAATGAGGCTCTTTGAAGCCACAGTGCCATCAGAAGAAGAGCAATGGGAACCACCCATGTCCATTGCTCCAGCACCTCAACAACGGTGCAACATGTGAGTGGAAACTGGCAGGATAATTCTGACACATCTCTCTCAAAGGTCGCAATGTGCTTCTGGCTCTTCTGGGTCTCCACCCTTCTGGCAAAAAACGCTCACCATTTGCCATTGGAACCAGAGCCACTTGACATGGACAACGAGCCCATGCTGCGCATGTTAGACTTCGGGAGTCCATCAGTGTACATGTTGCCCAACTCCTGAATTTGCCCCATGTTTCTCATGCCGCTGCGCTGCCAGCCTTGTGAGGACACCAAACCCCAAAATCAATCGCTCCTGTTTAAGTGCAGACATTACAACGGTTGCGCCTTTCATCTGCCTCGATATGTGCTGTTGCACTACTACGCCTTGAGCCTCAAGCCTCCATGAGTACAAAGTGTGGCACTACACAGCTACTGTCAAAGTGTTTGCGGTTGCAGCTACTGTCACAGTAGTGTGTGTGTGTGTGTGTGTGATTAACAGCGACCTGCCATTGACAATTTGACGCTGCCAGCGGACGCTTCATCTGCAGCCGTAGGGATGTGAATTTGATTGGTATCACACACAACATCTACCATTGCTCAAGAGCACACCTGCCCAGGAAAGCTAGGACGCCATTGTCTGTCAAGGGCACAGCCACAAGGGCGTCTGAAACATCAAAATTGAAATGACTACTCCAAACTAATTCGTCACCGGCTCTACCAACATCACTGCTTCCCAGCCCACTACTGGCTTAGCGGTCATGCGATTGCTCCAGTCAAATCACGCAGCTTGTTCAACAGCACAGAATCCGAGATGATAATTCTGAGGCCCGCCAGCTGTCTTGAAAGCGGAGAACGGCAACTGGAGACTTTGCATGAGGTCGTGGGCTTGCCATTCATGCTTCCAAGTCACTCCCTTTGAAGCCCATTGGAAGCAAGTGTGGAAAACGGCTCCAATGCAAAGCACAACCTCAAAGGCGCGCAGTATTACAGCCAAAACAAAACATGTCCCAGACATATCTCTAGGAGATATCCCCAAAAGCCAGCCTTAAAGATACACCACACAGCCCCAACCGACATGTTTGGCCAAAGAAGCATATCTTGGGAACCTGGATACATATGGAATGCAAGATTGAAGATTCAAGATTGCCAAAAAGATGTGCTCAGATTCACGCCACCCATGATACAATAGCATTTGTGCTAAACTGAAAAACTGCAGTTGAATGGCAGTCCGAATCTCTGATTTTTCGGATTCCAATCAGGCTATGTAAAGCTGAACCGGAAGGGCAGGGTAGCGGTGCGGGATGTTGGTAGATAAACACCGTAGTGAATGAGACCTGGAATGTCCAGCTAAGCCGCAAAGGCTGAAAGTGCAATGTTCACCACCATCTCCATTTTCCTGCTGCTACGCTTCCTCAGCAATTCAAAGCCAATGCTCTTATCATCAAGTGAACAGGTCAATCAAAAGCAAGCAACACTACTGAACTCAGGATTCCCGGCCTGTTGCGCGGCAAGCTGTGTTTTGCCCCCAACCCTCCACACTGTGTGCAGGCGTGATTCTCTGCGAAAGCAAAGCATATCTTGTAGATGAGTGGCAACTCAGTCCGGCATCCACGGAAGCCCATGCTCATCATAATGGACATGAATTGCTTTGCCAAACAGCCAGAATTGTGCAATTATTTATGTCTGTACATTTGTATATATATATAATATATATATATATATATATATATATATATATTTGAGCTCGCCCCCCCCCCCAAAGATCCGCGCCTGAGATGCTTTCTGTGCCTTTTGCTTCCAGGTTTGGACAGCTGTGTTCTTCTTTCAAAGTTCCTTGAAAACATTCCATTTAGACGTTTTGCTTCCAGATCTGCGCTGGTATACGTTTCCGCTCAAAGTTCCCTTTAAACAACTTTCAGGACGAAGTCAAAGTCTTGCTTCCAGTGGACTGGTAGAGTATTCCTTTCAAAGGAACATTGAAAATATTCTGCTCTCAGATTGGGGCTGGTGGGTTTTTTCCTTTGCGCTTTCCGGATTCCTTTAAACAAACGGTCAATTTCACAGCTGTCGGTTTCAGAGGAGCGGTAGACTTTCCCTTCCAAGGGTGATTGTAACAGGAGTCAGCTTCAAAGCGGTGTTTGATTGGACTGGTGTCCTTTCCAAGTCTCTTCCTTTCAAAGTTCTTTCAAGAAATATGACTTGACAGCGCAGCACTTTTTGCCTGCAAGAGCACAACAACAGGCACAGTGCAGCACCCTACAAGCAAGAGGAGCCCGGGAGCCCAAAAAGCAACCAAAGCAGCTCAAGTCACAGCGTCGTAGTCAAAAAGTTCTGAACTACCAGAGCGCGTGGGCGCAGCGAAGTCCTGCTGCTTTACAGCGGTAAAGTGCCACTATCTGAGTGTACGTCGCGTGAAGCCGCTTGTGTTGGGGCAAAGTGCTAATTAGTCCTATGGCGGGCATCTCCTTCCCCGCTGCCCAGGTTTCATTCATGCGCCGTCTGCGCACGTGGCAGCAAGGCGGATCCGTCTGGGAAGGCCGTCATATGACAACCTGCGAGCCGCCACGCCTGCGCAAAAACGATCGACTGCCTTGGGCAACCCTGCTCGAACTCTTGGACTTTGGCGCGGGCCGGCTGGACGTGTTGCAATGGTGCATCCGTTGTCTAAGATTGCAAAAGTCGGGTTGTCTCGCGGGTTTATGACCGGCGCACGCCGGCGCCATTAGCTTTATCGCTGGCAGGCTGCGATTGGTCGTCGCTGGGAGGTTGTGAGCAGAAACTGTATTGCCGCGGGTCAGTTTCTTATCAGTGTCCTGGTCTTGAAAAGCATCGAGCGCCAGCCACTCACTCGTGATGGACCCCAATCGCTGGTCGTTCCATCAAACCTCTGACAGGTCAGCAGTTTGCTGCATGTCTTTTCCGCCTTGTCCTTTTCCGTCGTTATATGCTGGTTAACCCTGGTCCTTTCCTTCCTTCCCTTTGCCTTTCCCCAATATGCCTGGTCGTAGAGATCCTGATGTTGGCTGCCAGTGTACATATGCGCGCTCCCGGCAACCAACTGAAACAAAACGCTGCAAAGCTCCCGCGCAACACAGCCACCCAGCCTCACACACAGCCGTCGCCCTACCAGTCGCGCGCCCAGCCTCGCACACCCGCGCGCCCATCCCCCTGCCCAGCCTCGCGCACCCATTTTGCTTCTCCACCACGCGCCTCGTGCAGACGGCCGTGCCACGCCCGCCGCGCACCCCTGCAGCCCAATTTTTGGCCGCGCATAAGCAAATGGAAGCCCCTTCTTATCTCCGTCGTCAAAGCCTTCGTCGAGCCCCAGAACGCAAAGGAACCTAAACAGAACCCAGCGCAGCACTTTTCTGCGCCCTGGCCTCAAGCGGGTGGAGCTGTCCTCGTTGTTGCTTTCTCATTAAAAACGGGACATTGCAACAGCTTTCTGCGCTATCTGGGCTGCGCCTGTTTAATAGATGTTTCGATATATGTATATGCATATCAAACAAAAAATGAGCACCCATCTTCGCCTCAACACTGCAAGGCACACAACGTCATCCGGCGAGCTCCTTCAATGTTGACGAGCGCCGTCTTTTTTCTGGCAAGCCACAACAATCAAGATGAAGGCGGCCCATCCAGTTGCTGCTGCTGCCCGCTCCGATGTCCTCTCGTCGTAATGCTGTCCTGTCATTTCTCAAAGCGGAGAGTACTGATGATGGCATAGGTGTGTGTGTGATGGACCGTTGTTTACCCTGATGGTGGTGTGGTGAACGGCGGCGGCGGCAGCGGTGGATGGTGATAGTGATAATCTCTGACTGCTTCACAGAAGAAGACAGGGCGGTGGACTCACCTTACCTACTATGCTGTAGTTTCTGCGTTTACTGTAAGATGTATACATGCTCTTTGCGTAATAATGTGTTTGTCTTTATCTACCAATATGTATGTGTGTGGGTATATGCGCTGTGTGTTTGCACGCATGTGTGGACGTGTGTTTGTACGCGCGTGCGTGCGTGCGTGCGTGCGTGTGTCTGTGTGTCTAGGCAAACTGGTCGGTAGGTAGGTGTGCGCGCGTGTATGTGCATAGTGTGACGTAGCGACAACGGGCATTCGCTCCATCACGCTGCGCCCGCCCGCTCTCTGCCCTAGAGGTGAAGTAGCGATCTTTTAGGGCCGAGGCAGGTTCTGCCCGTGTCTCTGTCTCTGTCTCTGGTGCGTTCGTGCGTTTGTGCGTGTGGGATTGTGGATTTGTGTGTTTGTGTGTTTGTGTTTGTTTGCTTGCTTATTTGCTTGTTTGCTTGCTTCTTTGCCTGTTTGTTTGTTTGCTTGTTTGTTTGTTTGTTTTTGTTTGTGTGTGCGCATCTGTGCGTCCGTGTATCCATGGATATTTGTGCGTGTGTGTGTGTGGGCGCATTTGAGTATGTGTATGTGTGCGTGAGTGCATGTGTGCGCAAGTGCATCTGTGTGTCTTCGTGCCACCGTGTGGCTGTGTGTGGCTGTGTGTGTGTGTACGTGTGTGTGTGTGTTCGCGTGTTTGGGTGTGTGTGCGTACGTGTGCCTACATGTGCGCAGCGGTGCATGGTGTCTGTGTGTGTGTGTGTGTCTGAAGCGCTGTCTGAACAAGTAGGCGGTTCGCGGCGGACCGAGTTTTTGGAAAACACTTTTGCGAGCTTTCGCGATGCAGGGTGTTCCTTTCGCGGAAGCTATTTAGGATGAGGCACGGCATTTGAACTATGACGGTGGTGGTGCGGGTTGCAAGCGTGCTGATGATGGTGATGGCAGGAGCAGGAGGAGGAGCAGAAGGCAGAGGAGGAGGAGCAAAAGGGGAAGAAGGAGGAGGAGCAGCAGGAGATGAATGACAGCCATGATGACAGGAAATCTTGATATAGTCGATGCCACAATCTTCTAAATAGAAACCAAGCGCTTTTTGCTTGTGCCTTTGCTCCCGCCTATTGCACACGGCTGCTGCGGCCAACCAGAACTGCAAGGCCCAACTCTAGCGCATCTCTGGCTGATCTTGGTTTCTGGAGAACACTGTCCTGCCACATAGTCGGCCTCGTTGAACACGTTTATGAGGAAAGTGGGGCACGCCAAGGAAGTTGCGTAGTGCGCCTTTGCTCAATTCAGCTGGCAAAGGCAGGACTGTGGCGAAGGGAATTGCTTGCATCAAAGCGTGGAAGCTGTCCAAAACCATCCGACACCCACACCTCTGGACCCAGCAAAGCCATCACTTGAGCACGGACACCTGTCAGGGGTGCAACATCGAAGTTGCAATCACAGCCTGCGCAACATTGCTTTGCTGCTCCACCTTCCCTCATGACACTGGGGCTTTGCAAGCACTGCTGTGCGCCTTGTTGAATGTGTTTGTTGCACACGTCCATGTCAGCAAACCTTGTCTGAAAGCCAAGCCGGCTTTCAAACAAGCCGATTTGTGAGAACTGAAAGCAATGCCAAGGAGCTCAGATTGCAATCACTCGTTTAACAAGGCTACAAGTGGCCCAAGTTGATGCTTCATGTCGTGGTCAGGACCATGGATAGTCATCTCTACTCAGGTCGTCTGAGAAAATCAGGCCCTTGTCTCTTCATGCCACAGCGGCCATCTTTTCATTGTTCTCTCTATCCAGCGACGATCCCTGGGCGATGAGCAGAGTGCCTCCTGGCGCGATAAGACCTTTCCTGCCTGGCTTGCCGTGTCACTTGTTTGCTGCAAGCAAAACTAGTTGTTGGGAGCCGCTGGCAACTCCCAAAGAAAATTATCTTGGAGACAACGTTGACAACCTGGCCTAGTGTGTTTGCCATGGTCAAACAGTCACGAATCATGGGCAAGGAGCACAATGTGCACGAATGGTGGTGTCGTAGTCGTAGTCGTAGTCGCAGTCGCAGTCGCAGTCGCAGTCGTAGTCGTAGTAGTAGTAGTAGTATCAGTAGTAGTAGTAGTAGTAGTAGTAGTAGTAGTAGTAGTAGTCAGAGTAGGAGTAGTAGTAGTAGCAGCAGCAGTAGTCGTAATCTCTGACTCTTCGCGTCTCGTATGATGTGAGTTTCTTCCACTCCACGGTCGTGTGCGATTCAGGCTTCCGCCACGCTGCGACAGACGCACGTGATCAATAAATGTGTTTGCTTTCTCAGTTCCTAGCAGCGGAATCTGCGGTGTTTGAGTGTGTGCGTATATTCGTTTGTCGATGCTCATCCGCGCCTCTCATTGTCTCTGCGCCTCCACGCTTCTCTTCCTGTCTGTTGCTCTCTGCTTCTCTGTGGTTCGGGCGCCTGACTTGAATTCGGATCACCTTAGGTGTTCGGTAATAGCTGCCGCCTCTGTGTTTCTGCGGGCGTGGATAGTCATGTTTGCTTGATTTGCTGTTTGTTTGTTTGTTTGTTTGCTTGCTTGCTTGTTTGCCTGTCTATCTCTTCAGGCTTCTCTTTCCGTGTGCGTGTGCCCAACTAGCAGTGCAGGCAGCAACAAAACTTTGACAAGTGCATGCTCCTAACCACTTGCCACGTGCCTGTCCTGTTGGCAACCCAATCAACCAATTCTGCATGATTTTCATCACTAGAGAGGTCCCCTGCATAACAACGGTCTGAATATCTTGCTAGCCCCGTAACTTGCCATGTGCAAAAACTAACACGCAGTCTTAGCACCTAGCGCCAACAACAGAAATCATTCATTGAGCTGATAGATCATTGTGGTGTTCATCGTGAATAGACCCAAACAAACTCCAACCCCAATGGCGGCTTGCCTGCAACTCTGCAACTCCAAACAAGATTGCCCGTGAGTGAACCAAGCTCTGCTCAGGGGTCGCTATTTAAATGGCCTATCTGCAATGACAAACCGCCAAACTGACAACCATGACCTTTCAATCCAAGTTGGCACTAGATTGTCAAAGCTTCTGAACACCTTGAAATCACCCCCCACGCCTCCATGGAAAAAGTACTCAGCTGCTGCTCCAATGCCTGCAAACGGAACTATTCAACCCATTCATCTCTCTGAAAACATGTCTGAACGTATCCCATCTTCAAATGCTCTCCCCATCCCGCAACCCATGCATATCCGCGTATGGTGCATGACGCATGACGACGCCTTGCGGTCCCGTGCGTACTCGCGGAGTGTCATCGCCATGAAGTAGCCGCCAACGAAAACAACCGCAACGACGAAGGGGAAGTCTGGAATTGGCGCGTCTGCCAACCTGAGTAGCAACACAAAACAGTACTCTATGAGGGGCCTTGTTCCTGCTGTATCCGTCTAGTTTGCAGTTCTTGTCTTACCACGCATAGAGGGCATTGTCGACTTGTGCTGCGGCGGTGTAGAATGTGCATTTTGATGCACCATTTCCTGTGGCCTACCTCGAACATTTGGTACAGGCAAAGTACTTTAAGTGCTGACCAGGTAGTCCAAGCAAGAGTTAGTACAAATGACAAAGCTCTTGCTTGGTAGCTTTAGCGTAATCGGTCAGCAGCGGCCAGCTCAAGTGCAAACGAAGCAACCACGGCGGGAGTTTCCAAACACTTCAAGTGTGAAAAAGGAAACGACGTCTCTAAGGCCTCATCTAAGTTTGCTCCGTCCGCATCAAATTACATTGGCGGCGAAAGCAGCGGCGCCCAATACTCAACTTTCGCTGGACACGTTGAGGAGCGTCGTCTCTTGAGTATCGCTTTGCCCGAGCGTTGCCCGTCAAACCATATCAGTCGAGCACCAGCTCTGCAAAGAGGGACAGAGAGAAAGAGAGAGAGAGAGAGAAAATTACAATCGAAAAAGAAGAAGAGAAAGAAAAAGAAAGGATAGGAAGTCTATATTCCAGTTCGATGATCATTTGCGGCGGTGGTGGTCACGGCAAATCTTCTACTTAGGTTGTTCTCAAACACTCTGAGGGCAGTTGCAGTTGGTCTCTCAGATTAGAATGCGCTTTTAGGCTTGGCGGCTGTTCAGTTTTGGGCCTTTTGGGCAGCCTTGATTCATATTCATGCCTCGGAAGCCTGCTCAGCTCGCGTTGCGGGTTTGAGCTTGCCTTCGCAGTGGCATCGCCTGGCAAATAGCGCGGGCAAATCGCTAGTTGGCATTGGAGCAACATGCCAAGCTAGAAGGGCAACAACTAAGATTGCAGCAAAAGGCAAAAGCTGGTGAGACGCGGCAATCCAATTACAAACGAAGGAGAACGCGTGGACAGCAGCGACTAAGGAAGAAGTAAAGGCAGCGCAAAATCGACTCAGTGCGCACAAGGTGCGAGCACGTTGCCAACATGGCCAATGGTTAAAATTATGGTATGGTGTTCAAAATGGCTGGTGCAGGAGCACGCTGTCAATTCAGGATCCGCAACTTAAGAACTAGCAACACAGTGGATATCTCAGTCAAGGTCGTTTTCTTGGCCTTTGTCTCGAAGTGCTCATGAGCACCCGTGATAGACATAAATTGCAACTGTGATCATGAGCAGACTTGTCACAGCACTCACAAACACAGCATGACATGTGTGAATCTCTCTCTCTCTCTCGGCTCACGCAGCATAACCTTAAGCAACATTATGCTTCATGTGTTGGTTTGTGGCCTCTGTCTTACTTTGCTTCAGCGACGGATTGGGTATGTGGCACCTTCTCAGCAGAACAACATGGTTGTTCACCTCAAATTGCCAAGCATGAACAAATCCCAGCAGCATAGCCAAGACATGCAATATCATGCAATTGTACAAGAGTCGAACAGCGATACTTTCATGGCCCATCAGTTAGAGCTGTCCCGGCCTGTTGGCTTGAACCATAAAATATATGATAGCTTGTACGAGCCAGGAATAGATGCTCACCTTCCGCGGTAGCTGCAAGCACTCATGGCATGTACTCGCAGGCTGCTGTATCAGTGAAACTCAGATTCATGATGCCATGTCTGCACTGCAGACAACTTCACAGCTCAATCCTGAGCAGGGCCTTGGCAAGCTGTAAAGGAATCAAGTCCATTCGCAAGCCACGACTGCCAGCTACTTTCACCATGGCGGCCATCTCCAAAGTGCACCACAACCTCAAGACCAGAATGCGCCGTCCAACAGACTTTTCAAACAGCACGTGATCTTGAAACAGCGCCCGAGCACGAATTGATGTTCAATTTATTCATGTGCGTACCCATGTTACCCTTGTAAATAAGCTGCCTACTGCACTCCACTGGACCTTGACGCAGGCAAGTCTCCGTGTGAAATACGTAGGGCTCCAGAGGAGCACCATGCGATCTGAAGCAGCCACAAAAGCAGCGAAGGATCTTACTCCTCGCTCCTTCAGCGTATCATCCTCTTGGTGGACGCAAAACTTGTCAAGGAAGTACTGCGTGGAGAAGGAGCACCGGTCTCCTCCGCTAACAAAGTGGAAATCTTCAAAAAGGCAATGGCAAACTTTGGCCTCATGTGCCCTGCGTGGAGGAAGAACCTGCCATGATAGCCTTGCTCATGAGCGCAAGATAAAGCTAATGTCTGACCAAGGTGCTGACCCGGTGCCACGTCATCAGGATGAGAAAGAAGGTGCTTGAACCAAAGAGGAGCGCCCAAGGGAAGAAAGCAAAGCCGTCGCTTTGCCGTATCTTTGGCAACACGCCGATTCTGCATAGGCTGGCAGAAATGCATGCCACAATTGCAGATATGCACACCGCGGCGCGCAGGTTGCTATGTATCAATAGTGCGAAAACCTTGGCAGGACTTCGCACAACTTGACGACAGCACCAGCGAAACAACTCAACCCATTGCCAAGTTGGCGCGCTTTTGCAGCTCTATTTTGCCCAGAAACTTTGGGTGTGTGATGGTCCTGCCAGCAATGACTGATAAAGACATCAATCTGTTCGACATTGTGTGATTTGTTGATCCTTGGTTGCAACTCATGAGACTGCAATTCAAGTGCACACTGTGCTTCTCACAGGGTGGCCAAGGTGCAGTACGGTGGCCTCCTCCGCTGAAAAGTCTCTTGCAAGGCTGTTGGCTTTAAGGTGTTTACCGCGGCCTTCCAGCACCTGAGCGCGCAAGGCCCAGCAAGCGGCCAACAAACGACACACAGTGACACACGAGCGAATTCTTTCATGACAGCCGCGAATGACTGTGTGCGTACAAAGAGTCAATCAAGCGGCACGAAGACTACGTGTCTGACAAACCTAGAATCTGCCTGCAGCTTGCAGAACTCGAAGCAGACCGCGCACAAGGGCATTCACGACTTCAGCGCACAACCAGCACCCATCACAAACCAGCCTCTCACATGATGCAGTCAAGATAAAACACACGAGTGATGTCACTACAGTGTGTTACTGAAACATTCAATTCCGCTGCATTGCTTCACAGACGTTTCACAGTGCCGTACAGCACAGTACCTTACAACTAGGCTCAAGCCAAAGCTTACACTACATTACCTTGCAATTGCATTATGCTGACATTGACTTTAATTCCCCAAACAGCGAAGCATTGGGGTTCTAACTTGAGGTATAGAGAATGGGAAAGTGTGACGCTGGTTCCGGGGTCCTGTTTTCCGCTTGTCTTCCTGTCTCCCACTCTCTCCGGTCAAATGCCAGATGCTCCGGCTCTGGGGTCGTGTCTCCCGCTTCTCCCACTCTCTGCGGTCAGATGCCAGATGCTGCGCCGGCTCCAGGGTCGTGTCCCGCTTGTCTCCCTGTGTCTCCCAGTGTCTGCGGTCCTAGATGCCGTGACGCTGGGTACAGGGTCGTGTCTCCCGCTTGTCTCCCTGTGTCTCCCAGTCTCCGCCTCCGCGGTCACATGCCGGATGCTGTAACGCTGGTTCCGGGGTGGTCTCTCCCGCTTGTCTTTCATGTGTCGTCTCCCAGTCTGCGGTCGGATGCCAGACGCTGTGACGCCGGCCGAGGTCGTGTCTCCCGCTTGTCTTCCTGTGTCTCCCAGTCACTGGCTCCGGGGTCGTGTCTCCCGCTTGTCTCGAGACGACCCGGAGCCAGCGTCAAAGCGTCCACAGAGACTGGGAGACAAGCGGGAGACACAAGTCACAGCATCTGGCATGCAGATGCAGGGCCCGCTTGTCTTCTGTGTCTCCCAGTCTCTGCCAGATGCTGTGACGCTGGTTTCGGGGTGCTGTTACGCTGTACGTCCCAGTTTGTGTGGTCGGATGCCAGATGCTGTGACGCCGCCGGCTCCTCCGGAGTCTTGTCTCCCGCTTGTTTCCTGTCTCTCCCAGCCTCTGCGGTCAGATGCCAGATGCTGTGACGCTGGCTCCGGGGTCGTGTCTCCCGCCTCTCTGCCTGATGGCCCCAGACAACCAACTCAGCTGCTTCTTCTTTGCGAGTTTTGGGGCTGACCTTGCTTGCTGCCAGTTGGCTGTTTGTTTAATGCTTACCTCAACAGGGTCCCGGGCAAAACCAACTGAAGCTGCTTCTCCTTTGCGAGTTTTGGGGCTGACCTTGCTTGCTGCCAGCTGGCTGTTTTCCTGCTTACAGCCCTCGACAGGAAAAATGCAGGTCCGGGCAAAACCAACTGAACCTACCCAGCTTTTTGAGGCTGACCTGGCTCGCTTGGCATCCAGTAACCGGCGTTCGGCTCCCTTCGGCTCACGTGGCAGCAGCTCGCAAGCGCAATTGAGAAGCATCAAGCTAGAAACATGGATTCGACAAGTCAGCAGGAACCACTTGTAACAATGTTTCGCAACGGGAAAGGGCATGTCGCAGATTTTGCTGTTAGCCTGTGGCATCGTTTGGGTTAGAAGCAAGCAATGTCGAGAGCCTTAAATATGTCTATTTTTCTCGATAAACAAACAAATCGTGACATCCGGCTGATTGCTTTGCTCAGGAAACTGCGCTGCTTTTCAGAAGCCAGCGCCGCACTTCTTGGTCAAGCGTAACCTGACTGGATTGTTTCCTTGTGGCGCATCAGCAGGGCCCAGCCAAGTAGCCTTAACTGACTGGTTTGCATCCTTCTGGCACATCAGCAGAGCCCAGCCAAGTGACTGGATCTCACGCTCTTTCTCGCCCAGCTGCTTCTCAAGGAGTTTGATCCGACGCAGCAGGTCATCGAGAGCGCAGCGCTCCGCCGGGAGGTGGTGCATCCTTGTGGCGCATCAGCAGAGCCCAGCCAAGTATCCTTGTGGCGCATCAGCAGAGCCCAGCCAAGCGCAAGCCCAGTGAAGTGGCCTTAACTGACTGGTTTGCATCCAGCAGGACTGGTTTGCATCCTTGTGGCGCAACAGCAGCCAGCCAAGTGGCCTTAACCGACTGGTTTGCATCCTTGTGGCGCATCAGCAGAGCCCAGCCAAGTGGCCTTACCTGACTTTGCATCCTTGTGGCGCATCAGCAAGCCCAACCAAGTGGCCGTAACTGACTGGTTTGCATCCTTGGATTGCATCCTTGCGGCGCATCAGCAGAGTCCAGCCAATTGGCCGCAACTGACTGGTTTGCATCCTTGTGGCGCACCAGCGAGCCCAAGTGACAATAACTGACTGGTTTGCATGCTTGTGGCGCATCAGCGGAGCCCAACCAAGTGGCCGTAACTGACTGGTTTGCATCCTTGTGGCGCATCAGCAGAGGACAACCAAGTGACTGGTTTGCATCCTTGTGGCAGCCAAGTGGCCTTAACTGACTGCTATGCATCCTTGTGGCTCGTCAGCAGAGGCCAGCCAAGTGGCTTTGACTGACTGGTTTGCATCCTTGTGGCACACCAGCATCTGGTTTGCATCCTTGTGGCGCACCAGCAGAGCCCAGCCAAGCGGCCTTAACTGACTGGTTTGCATCCTTGTGGCGCACCAGCAGAGCCGCTTAACTCTCTCTCTCTCTCTCTCTCTCTCTCTCTCTCTCTCTCTCTCTCTCTCTCTCTCTCCCAGTTTGCGGACGGTCATGCGTCCGCTACCCAGCCACCCTCGGTCGTTGCCAGGTGTGGGGGCGCGCACGTAAAAGCTGTACAGGCACACTAACGGCGGAAGAGGCCAAGAGGGACTATTGCCGCGCCATCTTCCTGTGTTTCACAAGCTGCCATTTCCGTTGAGGAGTTGGCAGGTCCTCATTTTCAAAAGTCGGTGGCTCGTACGAAGCGAGGCCAGCCGGAAGCTCAATCGGACCAGCGGCCGTGTCCGAGGTACAAGTGCAATTGTATGTCACCAACAGTCTCAGTGTTGCTTCAAGGTAGGGAATCTGTGGGCGAACCGCAGCGACAACGGATTTGCGTATGGGATAATGAAGCGGATTATCATGCAGGCTTTTCTGTTGAAAGCTAGGCAAAGTACAGACACGAGTCATAGCAACAAGCTGCTGCATGATGGTAAGGAGAGTTTCAGCCTGATAACCAACCCCACGAGCACTTGGGGGAAGCATACCAGCATCGGTTGAGTCATAGTCTCGAAAGCTAGTGAGTGTCTTGATGCGGTCACGATGGAAAACAACTGGTAACCGGGTTCCAGTACACACAAGAAAATTACAAAGAAGCTCAATAACGGTGATGCCAGGATCACCTTTCTTTGGTGTCAAGTCTGATGGCCAACCAATCAAATGCATCCAAAACCACACAGCATGTGCTGCGGCCTGGCCTGCCGGCACAGCACGGACAATGGACGTGGCAAGTGGCCTGTATTCAAGGTGTACTGGATCAAGAACAGTCCAGTTTCGAACAAAAAGGATGGCAGCCCCTGCTGACGAAGTGCTGGAATCAGTTTGATCATTGGTTGCTTGGCACAGCGCCTGGGCAAGTTGCTCACGCTCATCTGTAGCTTTATGCAGGGCCTGCTTTCGCCTTGCTTCAGGCAGGGCAATCCTATGCTGGTCAAGTTGCACAATGTACCGGATGACACACTGATAGTCTGTACACAAAGCAGAGCACTCTTGAAGGATATTATTGGACACATCACGTGTCACAGCTGAGTCAAACACCAGAGAGGAAGCAGCAAGTCGATCTGCCATGTCATTACCTATGATCAACCAAAGATCACGGGCACACTTAGCATCATTCACATGCTGATGAGATTTGACTTTCTCCCAAGTGATATTCCCAGGGCGCCAGTGGCGCATTAGGATCCACAGTAGATCCTGATTCTGCATTTTTCGCAATGGGCCAATACCATTTTCAAACCACTCAGAGACAAGAGAAAGTGCATGTAGGGCGTATTTAGAATCCGACACCACATGCACCGGCAAGTCAACCGCGGATATGGCAACACTGAGAACAATCGAGCAAATTGCTGCAATCTCACTACGGTCAATCGTTTGACGTCCTGGTGTCAATCCACAAGCCGCGCAAACAAAGTTGTCGGTAAAGGTACTGGTGCCATGAGATCCAAGCACTGCACCTGCAATGGCCTGGTCATCTGACAACTTGGATTGTGCAACGGCCCAACTGGCCCGTTGGGCAAAAGGTATTTTGGCATTAATACACGACCCATCAGTGAAAAAGACAAGGCGTTCACCTTCAACACAGGGGATATCAAATTGCAAATCAATTGGCAAGCCCTCAACTAACATACGAAGGCAGCGGACTCCGGACGAGGGTGCAATCACTGGAACCTGCTGCCACTCAGGACGTTCACGCGCAAGAATGGTAACTGCACGTGCATGTTCCTCCCGCAGGGGAAGGAAAGCTGGGCAATGCACCAGAACATGGTTGGTGGCTTCAGGTTCCCCACAAAAGGGGCAGGTGGCCTCAGCATCAAGATACCCCGCATTTTGCTTAGCTTGACTACTGAGAAAGGCAGAGACAATGCGAGGTGCTGCAAAAGCAAGGTCCCTGTCAGTCAAGGGTTCAAGGATGGTCAAAGTGAGTTCTCTAGACCACGGCATAACGGGCACTCCCCTGCGATGCTGCTGATGCTGCCAAACATACACGTCCCACCATTGAAGGAAAGCCGTTTTAAGCTCACGGCGAGAGGTGGTAAAAATGTGAATAGCAGTGGTGCCTGGTGGGCCATGCAAATTACCTTCGTCATCAAGGTGCCACCCTACCTTCTGAAGGTACATCGCACAAGCTGAGGCAGGCCCATAGCAGCGGCTGCAGTCTTTATCAGTTTCACATACAATGCGAA